AACAGGACCGTCTGTGAAGAACCGACAACAGTTCATGACTTTATCTTTAAAATACGGGTCATTTTATTTCAGATTATTCAGGTGATCGTCTGGATTGAGATTAAAGATGTGATGAAGAGTTTCACAGACGTATTAGGAGCTCTTCATCGCTCTGCAGAGGTCATGTGACACACTTCTTCACTTTCTGTCAACTCTGACACAGGATCGTCCTACAGCAGGGTTCAACTCGAACTCTGTTCACATGTTCTCCTGAGTTAAAAAAGTAAGAACTTTAGGGGATCAATGAAAACTGATCAATAATGTTTGTCTTATTGATCGACCTTAGTACTATTATTAGAAATCAATTTTAGGTCTTTTGGTCACATGACAGTGAAGCTATTGAAGGAAAACAGCCTTTTCTGAGAACATCAACCGGTAATTTATTGACGGTCCCTTATTCAACACCGACGTTGACAGTGAGGGTGTCGAGTAGATTTAACCGCGCTGCTGTTGTTATTCCCGGTTATGGAGAGTGAGAAGACACCGGTAGATCCTCAGAGAATGTCCGTCAGATATCCAACCTGAAACTAACTTCACCGCTGCATTTACAGCAAAATATATCCAACCTGAAACTAACTTCACCGCCGTATTTACAGGAAAATATATCCAACCTGAAACTAACTTCACCGCCGTATTTACAGGAAAATATATCCAACCTGAAACTAACTTCACCGCCGTATTTACAGGAAAATATATCCAACCTGACACTAACTTCACCGCCGTATTTACAGGAAAATATATCCAACCTAAAACTAACTTCACCGCCGTATTTACAGGAAAATATATCCAACCTGTAACTAACTTCACCGCCGTATTTACAGGAAAATATATCCAACCTGAAACTAACTTCACCGCCATATTTACAGGAAAATATATCCAACCTAAAACTAACTTCACCGCCATATTTACAGGAGAATATATCCAACCTGAAACTAACTTCACCGCCGTATTTACAGGAGAATATATCCAACCTGAAACTAACTTCACCGCCGTATTTACAGGAAAATATATCCAACCTGAAACTAACTTCACCGCCGTATTTACAGGAAAATATATCCAACCTGAAACTAACTTCACCGCCGTATTTACAGGAGAATATATCCAACCTAAAACTAACTTCACCGCTGTATTTACAGGAAAATATATCCAACCTAAAACTAACTTCACCGCCGTATTTACAGGAAAATATATCCAACCTTAAACTAACTTCACCGCTGTATTTACAGGAAAATATATCCAACCTAAAACTAACTTCACCGCCGTATTTACAGGAAAATATATCCAACCTAAAACTAACTTCACCGCCGTATTTACAGGAAAATACATCCAACCTAAAACTAACTTCACCGCCATATTTACAGGAAAATATATCCAACCTGAAACTAACTTCACCGCCGTATTTACAGGAAAATATATCCAACCTAAAACTAACTTCACCGCCGTATTTACAGGAAAATACATCCAACCTAAAACTAACTTCACCGCCATATTTACAGGAAAATATATCCAACCTGAAACTAACTTCACCGCCGTATTTACAGGAAAATATATCCAACCTAAAACTAACTTCACCGCCGTATTTACAGGAAAATATATCCAACCTGAAACTAACTTCACCGCCGTATTTACAGGAAAATATATCCAACCTGAAACTAACTTCACCGCCGTATTTACAGGAAAATATATCCAACCTAAAACTAACTTCACCGCCGTATTTACAGGAAAATATATCCAACCTAAAACTAACTTCACCGCCGTATTTACAGGAAAATATATCCAACCTGAAACTAACTTCACCGCCGTATTTACAGGAAAATATATCCAACCTGAAACTAACTTCACCGCCGTATTTACAGGGAAATATATCCAACCTGAAACTAACTTCACTGCCGTATTCACGCACATGTGACTCTAAATACATTTGATAATTCACACACGTCTATTTTTAGTCGTAAATGCGAGTGACACGGTCACCCTGTCGAGGCCTGTTCAGGGCTCGATATTTTCGATGCAGAATAAATTTACAGTCTTTTTAAAAACCTAAATTTCTGAACACATCTCTGCTAACGCCTTCTTTGTGTTTTTTAATGTTTTATAAACCCGCTAAGATCTGAAAATGAGTCCCAACAGTTTGAGATCTGAGACGCTTTAGTTTGTGTGAGTAAGAAAAGTAAGAAAAGACAATGAGTGTCGACGACATGCTTTGGCACCAGCTCCGGATTTTTGTGGTTTTTCAAGTATAGAGGGAAATCTTAAAAGGAGTCCTCGTGGGAAACTTGGGAGCACAAAAGGAAAAAGCCTCTCTTTTGATATTGAAACCGGTTCCCTATATCCTCCTGAGACCCGCTATTATACAATTCAGAGAGCATTTATACGCACACGCAGCGAACGAGGAGAAGAGCCTCAAATGTGTTTAAAACAGCGAAGTCAAACACAGACTGTTGTCAGGAATCATCCAGATTTATGACGGAGTAACAGAGGAGCGGCTCGGAGGTGGAGGGAGGCTCTGTTTTCAGCCTCCATAAGCAGCAGCAGATGTGAAGGACAGCATATACACTATAAACAAATAAAGCCGTATGACGCCAGGCCCACGGGCTTTAAATCACAAATGTTTGGAAACGTTTTACAGACCGACTTTCTGTAAAGGTCCACCAGGAATGTTCTCGGTGTCTGCGCTGGTTTCCTGTCTGCGACCGTGATGGACCACGCCGTGACACTTCAGAGACGAAGGAGGACCCAGATAAGGAAGTCCGCTGACCCGAGACCGGGTTCTGACTGTACTTAGAGCCATAACCGTTTATTATCGACCTCACTAAGATTTAACTCTCTACTCTTGGAGCAGGAGTCTGAGGTGGTCCTTCAGGATCACGGAGCCCCCTTATGGATCCACATACCTGGTCTGATCAGGTCTGAGGGTCTCTGTTTGTTGGGGGTATGATCCGAGGCTGGACTAAAGATGGACGACTCTATGATGACGTCGAATGATCTAGAGCTCCCCCTGGTGACCACCTGCTGTACTGCTGATAAGACAAGACCACACATGGGTCAGAGGTCAGGATACATGAGATGGACAGCTGAAGAGAGACAGAACTATAGTGTGTGTGTGTGTGTGTGTGTGTGTGTGTGTGTGTGTGTGTGTGGAGGGGGGGTAAAGCAAATGTGGAAGAGATAAAAACTGCAGATCTGAGAGTGAGATCATTTCCTACAACAGAGGGAGCTCACACACTCAGACCTCTATATTCTTTTTATATATCCATATCTATATCTAATATATCTATATCTTATATTATATATATATAAGATGTTTATATATCTATGTCACATCTATATTCACGTGTATTTGATTTGGTGAAAAGTGTAAGAAAGATGAAAACTGATCTCAAAAACACAAATTTAATTTTTCAGGTTGAAGTCTTTAGTAATCACATTAGTAATCTTAATAGTAATCTTATTAGTAATCATATTTTACTCATGAATAAATTACTGCATTGAACCACTTTAACTTCACTCTGTGATAAGCAGCGACTCTGTTAAAGCTCCTGTGAGGAATATTCACTTTGTGTCAACGTTGGCGCCCCCTGTGGGCAAAACACATTCTGTGCTTCTTTGTTTGAGTACAAAAATTCCTCCTGATGATTTCTTTGTATATATTTTTAACTAATTTATGTAGAAATTGTAAAAGCAGGGATGTTTATTCAGCTGGTCAGCTGACTCCTCCCCCCGTCACACATTTTAAGCCTTAAAAACCACAGTTTAAAATTTATCCGTCTGTGTTCAATGGTTTTATTTGCTTTTATTTGTCAGAGGACGACATTAATATAAATTTTAGTGTATTTCCTAAATGTCAAAAAAATTCTCACAGGAGCTTTAAGCATAAAATCAACACAAAGACACAGTTTAAGAACAAACATGATAGAAATGATAGAAATAAGGCTGAGTCGTTTTTAAAACTCGTCACAGTAACGAGACATAAAGACGCTCCTACATCACCCCGCTGTAACGACCCACTGATCTCTGAACCACCACAAATATACTGAACTAACACATCAGATACAGGAGTAAACACAGTATAGATATGAAGTGAACAGATTTCTAACTAACGCAGACTCTTTTCTCCTGCAGAAAAACTTATTTCTGATCCTTCCTGGTTCATCCATGTTCAGTTTTAAAGACGGATGTCTCCTGTTCCCTCCTGACTGTCCGTCTCTCCGCTCACTGTCTGTTTTTTTAGTTTGGATGCTGCTGAGAGTCCCTTCACTGGAATCCTCTCCCTTGACAGTAACGATAAAAATAACTGTGTAAAAAAAATAAAACCTCTTTTCTCTTACGGTCTGCTCTGATTTTATCACCATGTAGAGCAGAATTAAACTGTTTCATAACCACCTAAAAAGCTTTTAAAGTAGGTTAAGATGAATAAATAAGGATGAGGCTTTAGAGAAAAGTTTAAAGACGTTTAAAGAAGCAGAAATCTGTCTTTTGTTTTTGGAGTGTTAGGGTTGATTCTCTCTGACACACAGAGCCGTCAGTCAGGAGGAGTAAAGAAGCAGAAATCCTGAACTCTCCGACGCTCTGATGAAGGTTTGACCGGGTGACTGCTGTCCAGCTGTGGACGCTCTAACACGCATGACAGTGAATTTTCTGCAGTAAAGCTCATCTCGAGGCTCAGCGGGGGGCCGATTGCCCACCTCGACGCCCCGCTGTTCGAGCCGAGAGGCTGATAGGGGTCTGAGAGGGAGGGAGGGGGGTAACAGGGAGGAAATGGGGTGATGGGCGGGGGTCTGTGGGCAGGGGGACTGGTGTCAGATTACACGAGCGTTTCTTCAGTATGTAAAAGAAGAAGTCATGGTCCAGTTTATGTTGTTTTTGTTGTCTAAGAGGGCGGAGCCTCTTCTCTCTTTAACATACCTTCACTACTGCTTCCAGATGTTTACTGACAACATGAGAACTTCTCACTGAAGTGAGGCAGAGGGGGCGGGGGTCTTTGGAGACCCTGTAGGAGTGTGAAGGGTCTCAGTGGATCCTGTGGTGTCTTCACTTCTGGGGTGGCTGATGTTGATTGATGGCGGGGTGGCGGTGGGGGCTCCGGGGTCACTGGGATGGATTAATAGCATTAGCATAAGAGAGGGTCACACTGTTGTCCAGGGTCTGATACTCTGCTCGGCGGTCTATCTCAGTAAGCCTATTAAGGAGCGAGTGACACCGACTATTGTCAACCATCACCTTTAACTGTGGGGGGGGGTTACTGCCGCCAAACCGAGTCCACCGCTCAGGCCAGAGGGGGCGGAGACTAAAGCAGGCGCTGCACAGTCATGGCTTCATACTTCCACAAACTCTGACTGAAAACACAGAAGAAAACCTGGTCCAGGTCAGTCCACGATGGAAGAAAACCTGGTCCAGGTCAGTCCACCATGGAAGAAAACCTGGTCCAGGTCAGTCCACCATGGAAGAAAACCTGGTCCAGGTCAGTCCACGATGGAAGAAAACCTGGTCCAGGTCAGTCCACCATGGAAGAAAACCTGGTCCAGGTCAGTCCAAGATGGAAGAAAACCTGGTCCAGGTCAGTCCACCATGGAAGAAAACCTGGTCCAGGTCAGTCCACCATGGAAGAAAACCTGGTCCAGGTCAGTCCACGATGGAAGAAAACCTGGTCCAGGTCAGTCCACGATGGACATGAACAAACACTGTAGATCCAAACCAGAACTAAACACCTTCAATATCCAGGATGTTCTCTGGAATATCAGAGAGGCTGACAGTTAGCATTAACTGCTGAGTGAGCCATCTACATCCTTTTAGGTCTATAATCAGGTTAGTATAACATGTTCGCACTTAGAGGACGTAGAGTCAGATTACAGCGGTCTGGAGTCGACAGTAGAGATAAACTAGTCCTCTGGAACCGTCTCTAATATTATATAATAATATTATACTATGTTATTAATATATCATGTTATTATTATACTATGTTATTAATATATCATGTTATTACTGTATAATATTATAGTATCATGTAATTTGACACCGTAACAGAGGTCTCAGAGTCTCAGAGTCTCAGAGTTTTAGTAAAACAGGATTTTCTGTTCGGCCAACGTTAGACGACAGCGTTGGTTTTAGGACTGGGTGATTTTATGATTGTTAGAAATTTCAGTTCGATCGCAGTGATCAGCTGTGAGCTTATTTACTCGATCAATCATAGTGGAAGTATGCGTCACAACAGCCAATCAGAGTCGAGCTTTTCCTGCTCACGTCTGTAAGTTACCGGAGAAGAAGTAAACAAAATGACCGAACGAGGAGCTGAGGACAGTAAAGTAAATGTCAGCCGTGACTTCGAGTCCTCCTCTGAAGATGTTATTGTTGAGAGGTTATTGATCGTCGGTTGTGTGGTGGTGGTTCAGGTATCTCCAAAGTAACGTCGAGTAATTAAGCCGATGTGTAAGGTATGTCGGCGTTTGGTGCCTCAAAAACCGTCGACAAAACAGATCTGTTTATTTAAAGAAGTTCTTCCTGATTGATTATGAGGAAACATGAAAATGTGGGCGGAGTCTGTACAGCCTGTCACTGCTGACAGTACGAGTAGCATTAGCAGTTTAGCTAAAACTAGCGACGCAGCCACCAGACCAAAGTAATCAATCAATCGTATCATCTACATTTATATCATTAATGTTTACATTTTAAGACGTCTTCATGATCTCTGAGGAAAGATGATGAAGACGGGGTCAGAAACACTCAGAACTGTAAACTAGTTCACTGGATTATTGAGTATTTATCTATGTTTGTTGTTCTGTCGAGTTAAAATGGTTTTTTACATTTTTCTAAGTTTATCTTATTTAATTTTCTTTGTTATTGACTTTGTCTGTTAATAAAGTGTTGAACTAATCTGTAGTGTCTTTAGTTTTTAGTTCAGATGCTTTAAAACTGTCTGTTTTTAAAAAAACGTGATAATAATCGAGATCGGACGTTATGACAGAATATATCATGATCATATTTTTTGCCAAATCGCTCAGACGGAGTTGGAATTAAACTCCATCTTTGAGTTTTAACTCTGAGTTTGGAGAATCTCACCATCAGACATCCTTCCTGTCCAACGCCACAGTTCGCTCAGAGTTTATGGCGGTCCATCATGTTATGATAGGAGCTGGGAGGTGACACCGTTGGGTTTTCATTTTAAGCAGTTTGTCAGACTTACAGGGTTAGTAACATCAGCACCGTCTACGGCGTTAATGATCCGATCGGCTCTAATCAGACCGCAGCTTCCTGAGGCGTGTTCGGGTTTCTTTGGTGTTTTAACCTTGAAAAAAAACAGATAGTTCTGCTCCTATCAGAGCTTCACTCCCTGATCTGATGTTAGTGAAAACATCTGTGATGATGGATGATGCGCTCTGTTCAATGCGCTCTGTTTAATGCGCCGTCCTCTCTCCGTGTTGTAAATGTAAACTTGGAGCGGTATTCGAGGAATGCTCCGAACAGCCCGCTCTCCCTCCATGTGCCGTACTTCTGCCAGGAGGGTGGTGCTCATGGGAAGGGTTAAAGTAACCAGTGGAAGACGGGGTGTAGGGCAGGGCCTCAGTGAGGGGGGGGCGGGGTGTATAAAAACTGACAGAACACAAGAGCTGCTTTATCCACCCTGTCCCGCTCTGGGTAAGAGGACACCCTAACGTGCTCCGGCTGCTTCACCCTTTTCTTTCTCACTTTTTCTTTTCACTCACACACTCACACTCACACACACACACACCCCCGTCGGACGTGCGCGCGCTCAGGACCAGAATGGCAGCATCATCTACACGGAGAACAGACGCGCTCTGCAGAACGCTGGCCGTTACTCTGCTCCTCATCGCCCCGCTCTTCTGCGGTAAGTTGTTAAAGAAAGAGGGTCAACTTTTCAGGGATGGAATGGCCGCCTGAAAGGAGGGAGAGGGAGGAGCGGGGGGTGGAGGAGGGTGGGGTTGGGGGTGGGGGAGTGTTTGTTTGAATGGGCTTTGAGCTGAATCCAGGTTTTAACCCTACAACCCTTTTACTCCCTGGAATTCACAGATACGATCTCCATATTTCAGACATCTGTGACCCATGAGCGACTGAACCTTTCTGAGTCTGTGTGTGATTTTTTATTTACCGAGGAGACGCCGACAGGAAAACACACTTCAGCAAACAAAGGGAGATGATTGAAAGTTGAGATGTTTTCGCTCTAACTGACTTTTTACATGTTCACTTCAGCAGTAAACCCGACCGGAGCCGCTCGCTGCAGCAGCTCTGTTTGTTACTGACCCGATTCCCACGTCTTCACGGACTTTGTGAAGTGTGTGGTGAAGTGTGTGTTTTATATTTAGCTGGTTGTAATGTGAGGCCCCCCCCGAGGTGTGCGTGAGAGGAGGGAGTGTTGTAAATGTGCGTTTCAGAGGAGCTGCAGGAGTTTTGAGTTTTTATTCTGTAAAAAAAAAAAAAGAGTGACTCATCTATGATCCAAATCAAACCAATCAAACATCTTCATTATCTCATCATTTAACCACGAGGGTGTGGCCAACTCAGCCCAGGTTGTCTGTTTGTCAGATTTTGCACAATGAAGCTCCAACAACATTTATTATTATTGACTCTTTTTTTCACCGTTAGAAAAGATGTTTTTATCCGGAGTTAAATCGAACCTTCTCATGAACTTTGTTTCAGTAAAACTCAAATCAGAGACGTCTTTAAAAAAAGGGTCCAAATAAGGACGGGGACATTAGTGTGGAAATGTGAGACAAAGAGGCGAGTTTAAAGATGGAGCTGCGTCTGGACATGTGGTCGCACATGACTCCAGTTTTATGTCATGAACATTTTCTGAAGCATCAATAAGAGAGAAATATCCTGAAATTGTGAATGTGTGCATTTTTAAAAGCAGTGAGCCGGTCAGCTGTCTGTGAGACTGAAGGATAAGAGCTGAAAACACAGAGAGAGAGGTTTTATGGAGTTTCACACAGAAGATGGTCAAAAAAGAAGAAGAAAGGAGCTCCTCTGAAACCGCAGCGTGAAGGAAACACAGAGGGAGGAGTTTGTTCTTTAAGACATGAGCTAAAATTCACTTAAACCTGAACGATCATCCTGACAGTTTATCAAGTTTTTTTATTAACGCCTGAAACTGCTGGGGGGGGGTCTGTGGAGCTGTTTCTTCTTCTACTTTCCATCATTTATTTGACTGTTAAAGTTCAAATTAGTGAAACATGTCAGGGACAAGGTCAGCTAAGACTGCTGTGTCCAGAGGGGGCGCCAAAACTGACTCAGACTGAAAGTTCCTGACAGGAGCTTTAATAAATCTGAGTTTTGGTTTAGTTGGACAGAGTTTAAAGTCTGGTTTATTCATTAGTTTATTTACTGTATTTATGCTGCTGTGTGTTTATTTTACTCTGTAACTCTGAACATGAACCTGCTGAGGTTTGTACGGTCGTCAGATCGCCTGTTCTCCCACAGGCTCCTCCTCTTGTTGTTGTTCTCGATAATCGATGTTTTTTTAACTTCAGTGTTTTCATGTTGGAGCTGATGGATGTTGAGCATCAGCTGATCAACTGTGAGGATTATAAAGAGGGAAGTCTCCAAGAAAAAAGGGTCACTGAGGCCGTGAAGACAACCATGGTTTAGATGCTAACCTGTGGACCAATCACAGGAGGGCTCGTCATCAGGCAGCATGTCTGTATTTATGTGGGGACAGGACGACGGTTTAGACTTGGTGCCAGAGTTCATCTCAGACTCGACCTGGGCTGAACGGTTAACGGGTGGCGAGCGGCGATAATGTAGATAACATAGAACCTCTCAACCACTGAGCTAAAGGAGCGTATACTGGTAGGACTGGGACAAAAGTGGTCCAGGACTGGACTCCACAGCTGCACAGAATCTGCACATTGCTGACCTCAGTTAAAGTCTCCTTATTAACAGACTTTCCCTTTAAGAGAACCTTTAAAACGTGGACTGGGTCTCACGTCCACGATGAACGTCAAACGTT